GGCCCCACGCCCCGCGACGGGCCTCCAGCGGCTCGAGACTCTCCCGAAGGGCTTATCGGCTTTTCGCCAATCGACCTGTGGGGATCGAGCTCACTTAAAACGACGCGAAGATCGGGACAAAATCGGATCGGGATAACTCGAAATCTCTGAGAATCGGCGGGTTTGGAGGATGTATTGGGCGCCGCGGCCGCTCCAGAGCGATTTCTCCCGATCCTAGCCCTGTTTTATCACTATGTCCGGGTAAATGCAGATACATCGAGATACATCCAAGCACGTCGAGATACATCCGGGCAAAGCCAAGTACATCCAGAGGTCTCCAGGGAAGGTTGGAGCAACTCGCGGCCGCTCCAGCGCGAGTCCAAGGATAGCAGAAGTCGTTATGCCTTGAACGAGACTCATAAATGTCGGCCGTCCTGTCTCTCCCGTCACGCTGGAGGTCTCGGTCCCTCCCTCTTCCGTTCGCGCGGAGCAGGACGTGCCCCCATATCCCTCAGTAGCCGGCCCTACCCTACAGAAGCAGCCACACCCCCGCTGCGGCGCCTGGAAAAATTCTGGCCCTCCTCTGGCGGGCGGGCCTGAATCATCTGGCCCCCCGCAGCAGCCGACACTGGACTCACATTCACGGTGGCGGTGGCCATGGATATGAATATGGTCATTGCGACTATGATGGCAGCAACAGGGGTTGGTAGCGATAGCGATGCCACCCCCGCCCTGTACGTCTGCGCGGGCGCATATGCCTCCATGTTGCCGCTGATCATGTCACTTGCTTCAGCAGCAATAGAATCGACAAACAGTCTGCAGAATCAGAAACACCACAAGGGCAACGCTTGATTGAAACTCGCATGTTCGCAATGCTTTGTTTATGGCGGCAGACGGGAACGACATTGAACATGCGTGCCAAGATGGCCTAGCCTAGCCGCCCCCCCGGTGTCTCAAAAAGTACCTTCAGAACCGCCTCCCTCTGGTGCGTCGGCTTCGCGGAGAGGCCCCTAATAATCCGTCCCCCCTCCCCCCGCCGCCCTCCAAAGCGTACCTTTAACAGCAGGCCCCAGGGACCGATTAATAAAGGATATTATAGAATAGGCTGTGCAGCTGGCGTTCGGAAAATACAAAAAGAGTTGTGTGTATACCGGCTTAGGCGCTGCCTCCAAAAGTTGAAGCAGCAAGCGGGTGCGGACAGTGAGAGGTAATTGAGGCTGGAAAACAGGAGGAGCCTCTCTTCGTCCTCCTCCTCCTCCTCCTCCTCCTCCTCCTCCTCCTCCCTCCTCCTCCTCCTCCTCCTCCTCCTCCTCCTCCAACTTGGCCGACGGAAAAGCTCAGAGGAACGCGTCTGAAAACCATGCGGCCAAAGTTCCCGGGGGGGGGGGGCGCAGGGGCGCGGGACCATTTCAGCGCGTAAGTGGCGAACAGCTCGCGGTCGAGGTCGTCCGTGATGCGGCCTTGCCACGAGAGGCAGACAGACCTCCTCCTCCCCCGACCTTTTGCCTCGTGGGCAACTTATCCCTGTCGCACCCTCAGACATGTGGGTAGCGCGGGCCAGGCGCCTCGCCTGAAGCTTCCTCACCGCTGCCCACTCTGAAGCTCGAACCTTGCAGCCGACGCAAGTCTGGATGGGTTGGTTTTCAGAATGCGGCCCTCGACTGCGCGCCACGCGCACTCGACGTACAAGTCTGCAGCAGTCACAAGGATGAAGGGCGCTGGTTCTCACAATTCGGGCTCTCGCCTGAGCGCCTCGCACGTCAGCCTTCAAAGATTGCAGCACTGCAACAGCTACATGGACGGAGGACTGATTATTTGGAACATGTGGCTTTCGCCTGCGGTCGGGAGCCTTTGCTTAGCGTGTCGCGGCGGCGGCGACACGCTATGCAATGCGAGCGGAAAGCGTGTCGCTCCGCTCCGCGGGGCGGGAGGCCGGGAAATGCTCGGTACGATGACGCTGGGGGACTGGGAAGCGGATAGCGTGTCGCGCCGAAGCGTGGTGGGCCAGAACCGGCGTGGCGACACAGAGGGCCAAAGTTTCTTGACCGTAAGCCTTCTTGAAACTTAACAGCACGAAGGTCGAAGTACTGCACCAACTGCACGGAAGTGGAGGTCGGTCCCTCCCCGATGGATGGAGGGCGGATGCAGGGTGGCTCCCTCTTTAGACTGCCTCGACCCTCATCAGCAGGGATGCGACCTCGGGAAGCAGTTGCCCGAAGGTCGGTGGTTCGAAGATGGGGTATCCTGAAGGATGGGGTCCTGAGGATGGGAAGGGATCCATGGGTGGACTTACACTGCTTGAGGCACCTCGTCCTCAGGACCCCCTCCGTCCCTCAGGACCCCACCCTTGAGTTATGTCGGGCGTGTCCCCCTACAGGGGGATTTTCGACGAAAAACAAAAAATGACCAAACAATACCCCAAAAAGGCAAACAAATACTCCAAAAATAGTCCCCAGATTATTTTTGTACGATTTGTTGACTATTTTTATTTTTCGTTGAAAATCAGTGAAACTGTCGCCACTTTCGAGGCCTGCTGGGGGGCCCAGCACAGTGGGTACCCACCGCAGACTCAAATGGGACCTCGCCGGCTGCGATCTGTGAAACTGTCGCCCCTTTCGAGGCCTGCTGGGGGGCCCAGCACAGTGGGTACCCACCGCAGACTCAAATGGGACCTCGCAACCCCTGGGGGGCTGCGATCTGTGAAACTGTCGCCTCTTTCGAGGCCTGCTGGGGGGCCCAGCACAATGGGTACCCACCGCAGACTCAAATGGGACCTCGCCATCCCTGGGGGGCTGCGATCTGTGAAACTGTCGCCATTTTCGAGGCCTGCTGGGAGGCCCAGCACAGTGGGTACCCACCGCAGACTCAAATGGGACCTCGCCATCCCTGGGGGGCTGCGATCTGTGACACTGTCGCCACTTTCGAGGCCTGCTGAGGGGCCCAGCACAGAAGGTACTCACCGCAAACTCAAATTAGACCTCGCCATCCCTGGGGGGCTGCGATATGTGAAACTGTCGCCACTTTCGAAGCATGCTGGGGGGCCCAGCACAGTGGGTACCCACCGCAGACTCAAATGGGACCTCGCCATCCCTGGGGGGCTGCGATCTGTGAAACTGTCGCCACTTTCGAGGCCTGCTGGGGGGCCCAGCACAGTGGGTACCCACCGCAGACTCAAATGGGACCTCGCCATCCCTGGGGGGCTGCGATCTGTGAAACTGTCGCCACTTTCGAGGCCTGCTGGGGGGCCCAGCACAGTGGGTACCCACCGCAGACTCAAATGGGACCTCGCCATCCCTGGGGGGCTGCGATCTGTGAAACTGTCGCCACTTTCGAGGCCTGCTGGGGGGCCCAGCACAGTGGGTACCCACCGATCTGTGAAAGACTCAAATGGGACCGCGCCGTCCATGGGGGGCTGCGATCTGTGCAACTGTCGCCACTTTCGAGGCCTGCTGGGGGGCCCAGCACAGTGGGTACCCACCGCAGACTCAAATGGGACCTCGCCATCCCTGGGGGGCTGCGATCTGTAAAACTGTCGCCACTTTCGAGGCCTGCTGGGGGGCCCAGCACAGTGGGTACCCACCGCAGACTCACCTGGGACCTCGCCATCCCTGGGGGGCTGCGATCTGTGAAACTGTCGCCACTTTCGAGGCCTGTTGAGGGGCCCAGCACAGTGGGCTTCCCGCACGTCTTTCTCCTGCTCTTCGTTCCCAACTCCCCATGTCCTCTTCGAGCCTGTAGCTGTTGCCCCTCTTTCTTGTATGGTTCTCCTACGCATCATGCCATAGGCGCGTGTCCCAAGTAGGTTACATATCAAACAACGGATCCTGCAATTCGATTGTCCATGCAAGTTTCGGCCACCTCGTCGTTTCCCATGATACAAATGGGTTGGGTACGTCACAGGGTCATTTTTTTATTTTTCGTCGAAAATCCCCCTGTAGGGGACAGGCCCGACTTAACCCTTGAGCCACCGAGAAGGGGGGGCGCAGTTCCTCTCGAGACGGGGCCCTCGCTGGACCCGGTGCGGACCCCTCGCGGCGCTGCCCCTCCGCCCGCGCTCCGCCCGCGGCCCGCCGGGCGGCTGCGCGCCCTCGCCGCCGCCCGCGCGGCCACTCCCCGTGCGAGCTTCGGTGCCGTGCGGCGTGCGCGTCTCGCCGGCGGATCCGCGGTGCTCCTCGATGGCCCCTTGCCGAGGAAAGAGCGCACAACGTCCGGGCGATGCCACAGAAGAGGCGGCGGAGGAGGAGGGGAGGAGGAGGAGGAGGAGGAGGAGGAGGAGGCGGAGGAGGAGGAGCAGGGGGAGGAGGAGGAGCAGCGGGAGGAGGAGGAGGAGGAGGAGGAGGAGGAGGAGGGAGGAGGAGGAGGAGGAGAGGAGGAGGAGGAGGAGGAGGAGGAGGAGGAGGAGGAGGAGGAGGAGGAATAGGAGGAAGACGAGGGGCGGAGTGAGTGAGTGAGGAGAGCGGGGCGCTGTCTCGTCACAGCGAGGGGACGCAGCACCGGCTCCTCGGCGCAAGGGGCTCTCGCCCGAACGGCAGGCCAGCAGGGTGCTCGTCACTCGATGGGGGCGCTTCTGGCGGTGAAGAGGACATCCGGTCGGGACTCGAAAGGAGGGGGCCTCCGACGGGAGGGTGAATCGCAACACCGTTGATACATCCTGGGTCTCCTCCTCCTGATCCTCCTCCCTCCCTCCTCCTCCTCCTCCTCCTCCTCCTCCTCCTCCTTCCTCTCCTCCTCTCCTCTCCTCCTCCTCCTCCTCCTCCTCCTCCTCCTCCTCCTCCTCCTCCTCCTCCTCCTCCTCCTCGAACCTCGAGCCTCGATGCTCCTCTCGGGGGGGGGCAGTTTCGGGTTCGAGGTTCGAGGTTTTCGGACTCTTTCGTCGGTTCTCGGCAGAGGCCGAGCAGAGGGGCGACGTCCTCCCAACCTCGATGCTCCTCTAGAGGAACCACAACCGGCCGCGAGCGAGGGGGGGGGGGGGGGGGCAGCTTCGGGTTCGAGGTTCGAGGTTTTCGGATTTTTCCGTCGGT